TGAACGCTCAAAAGCCAACAATGCTGTTAGCCAATAATGTACGTTCAGGCGAGCTAACCTTTAGCTTCCAATTCATCAACAGGTAACTCCATCTTTCACCACTGCTGAAGCGATTCCTTTCATGAAAACAAAGGAAAAAGAGGCTACTGTGTGGAAAGCCCAATTCAAAGCTACCATTAAGAGTCTAAGCAAGTTACCCCAACTCACACTAGCTCAGACACTAGATATTGGAGAGAGGAAACATTTTTTTCTTATCTCGCACATCAAGCCCTCTTTGAAACTGGCCAGGCTAGTTTTTCTGTCCATGTCAAAGAAAAGGCAAATACTAAACAGCATAAACGGCCTTAAGTTCATTATGACTGAGGGAAGGGGTGTGGAAAAGATGGCTCTGCACAAACTTTCTGCTTCTTTAATCCTGTGGATCAGCGGAGGCTCCCAGGTTCGCAGCACTTCTGAATATCAAAATGTGCCTTCTAAAGTTTGCCTTTTATAAGCAGGGGTGTTATCCACACACTCATGGTCCCCCTGTATTTCACTAAGCAAAACAATGCCCAAAATACAGCTATGCCAAATCAATTAATAAGAAGACAGTTATAACATTGCTCAGTACCAATCATACAAGCACTGGAACCACAAGCTAATACCATATTTACTTGAATGCAAGATGACCCTGAATACAAGACAACCCCCAATAATGAGATTCTCTATGCAGAAAATGTAAAAGTTTGTTATAACTTTCTGGGTATGGAATCGTATTGGAGGTCTGCCTTGAATTTGTTCCCCTCCGACTGCTATGGCAGGGAAAATAAATCTGGGGGGGTTCAGGTCCCTTACCCATTGCCTCTCCCTAAAGTCTTCCCCCTGCAGCCCCTTCCCACAGCTCCTTACTGTCAGACCCTGCTATCCCTAAGCAGATGGAAGTGAGGGACACATTTGAAAAAAAATGACCTTGAAATAAACATACCTGCAGTAATTTGCACGTAGTACCCACAGACTTAGCTCACCCAGAATTGAAGCATTTTACATTTTTTGAAACCGATACAAGTTAGCATAGGTACTCGATAAACACACTTTAAGTGGCCTTTTTGTACCTGCTTTATATAGAGTATAAACTATACATGATATTAATCCAGAGCCAAGAGGCTCATGATTTACTACGCAGTTCATTGGACTAGTCCCCAGCGAAGTCAAGCCATGGGGACCCCACAGCTCAACACTGCTCAGTATGTGTGTATACTCCAGATATTCCCCCAACAAAGGTGTCGTGCTAATTAACCCTCCGCTCGTGTCTGGAACCGCGTGTTGAGTCCTGGGATCCTCCAAAAATGTATACGCAGATGAGGTGCGGGACAACCTGGTCGGTCTCCACCTCATATAGGGTACGGACACACTAATCATGTGCAACAGGTTGGGGGCTGGGGAGGGGGACATACAGTGATGCTGGGTGAACCGTTTAGGATCTCAGTGGGTTGTGTTTGCCAGGCATAAGGCTGGTGAAAAAACAGGAATAATTGGAAATGGGAAAGAAAGATGCAGCTCAGCTGTAGGAGTGTAGATTGAAATATATGCAATGCAGTAGTTCACTAAGACTTGAAAGAGTCAGACCTTGGGGGGAGGGAGGAGAAGGTTGTGTTTAATGGGCAGTGCCATACGTCTTAGTCAGATGGGCTGTGGTAATCTGTCTTTGTGCTAGGCTGCCATTAGCATTATTGGCACCAGGGAAGGGCGTCAAAACTTGCTTCGGCCTCTCCGAGTGCTAGCCTGGTATTGCAGCACCTCTAGGCCAGGTGCTCGATCCATCCTGGGGGAAGCAACTGCCCTTTTTTTTTTTTTTTTTTTTTTTTAAAGGCCACAATAAAAAGTCCTCATCAGCATGTCTACCCAATATGGGTCCTGTGTTTTATAGTCAGGCTCAATGTTGGCTGCATTTAATGAACTTCATAGTTGATTTCCATTACTGAGCACATGCAGCTTTTGGCAGCAGTTTAATGCTAGACAATTTATTTAATCAGGCTTCCTCATATACAAATGTAAGACGTGGCTTTCCCCCCCGTGCTGATTGGGGTGGGGGGAGAGATCTCATCTTGTATTTAAATAAATATGGTGATTACACGCGTCTTTTACCTCCATTTGCAAACATATGTTAAGGGGATGATAAACAGGAAAGAGAAAAGGGCAGGGGAGAAGGGCAAACCCATGGAAGGAAGCCTGGGGATTTTTGGAAAGACAGATGCATCAGTTTCCCGGTGAACAGGCTGTCTGCAAACAATATGGTGCTTACCTGTAGATTTACGAGTCCGCTTAGACTCCAGCAGTGAAGGATCGGAACAAGGCTCTATTGGACACCAGCTTTCACGGTTTATCTGAAAGGCAAACAGAACACAAAATCAGCATGTTGTTTAGCTCCAATGTCTCGCCTAAGCCTTACTGAAATATAATTAGATATAAACAGTCTCCCATAATGTTATATGGCTTCCTTTTTGCCTACTGGGCCAGAAAAATCTCAGTACTGAGTCACAGTGGAGTAGGGTTGTTTTGTTTTTTTTTAAGTGGTTTCAGAAACGATCAAATCCTCTAGAGCGTCTTCCAAAAGAGTAGTAATTTAAAAAGGAGTCCCTTGCTTGAGTGGAGAGCTCAGAACATGGGGGATCCAGAGCTGAAGGCACATGCTTGAGATGCAGGAGAGCCATGCTCAATTCGAGCTCTCCTGCCTTTGTGTGACCTCACCCAAGTCACGTGTCTCTTGGCGCTTCTGTTAACCGCCAACAGAAAAGACATGACAGCAAATCACTACCCTGCAGGGTGCTGTTAGGTAAATATATTAAGGCCAGTAAAATGCTCAGATGCTAAGGTGACAGGAACATGCATGTACCCAAACACAGTGGGATCAAGGAGCACATTATCTTTTTTTATTTCAGATGTAGGAAACAGCTGAAGTGATGGTTATTATGAAAAAAATGGATGCAAGGCATTTCTTATTAAGAATCACCACCTATCTCTTTCAACATCAACCACACCCTACCACTCAGCCTTTGCATGACTACTAGCTCATCAGTGGTGATGGCTTCTTATCTGTTCTCAACTCTCCCCTCCTTTTCTTCCACTGATACAGTTGCTGATTCCCTCCATTCATCACTCTCCCCTTCTGCCTGGACTTGTTTGTTCCACTTTTTGACCATAAGGCCTACCCAGCCAACCCTAGTCCCTGGTTTATACCAGCATTCAAGTTCTCTAGCTCTTGCTCACATGCTTTGCAGCCTCTCTGGAAATCCTGGGCATATCTACACATTCAATTAATGTGCTTTAGGTAATGCACATTAAATTTAGTACTTCCATGGTGAAGTACTAGAAAAATATGTATTAGCCTATTTTAATGCACATTAGCTAAACAGTGTGGGTTTTTTGTGTCACTTGAATGCACATTAAAATAGGCTAATGTGCACTGAAGCACACGTGTAGATGCACCCCCTGTGACCAGGCTGACTTACTTCTCTGCTCTATCACCCTCCTTCACTTCTGCGATTTTCTTACCTAAACAACTCTACCTCTTCAGCCTAACTCAGCTTATTCCCCTTATCTCAGACTCCATACCAACACCCCTGACTGATTTGTCTAAACCCTCCCTGAAGCTTACTTTCTCTTCCCTTTCCTCCTTCTAAATCAGATGCAAGAGGTCCATTACCTGCTCCTCTCCCCCAACCTCTCCCTCTTGCCTCAGTGACCCCATCCCAGTCCACTGCCTCATCTCCCTTGCACCCACTTGCATCCCTTTTTGACTCCTCTTAACCTTCCCCTCTGGCCATTTCCTCTTGTAATTCAAATATGCTTTGGTTTTCCCCGTCTTAAAATAACTAAATCACTAAAACCCCACGTCCCTTCTTCCTTTTATTATTAAGTTCCCAAAACATGCTGCTTACAATCACTCCGTGAAGTTTCTTGCCCCCAGTAAGGCTTCTGTCCCCTCCCCTCCACTCCACTGAAAGTGCTCTGGCCAAAATCTTGACTGACCCCTTCTTAGCCATATCTCAGAAATAACACTTAAGCCTGTTGGACTTGTCAGCCACTGATCCCTCTGCAATCTTCTCGAAATCTTGTTTTCCCTGGGCTCTTGATCTCCTCCAGCCTTTCTAACTACTCCTGCGGTGCATCCTTTGGAGAATTCTCCTCATCCATCATAAACGATAATCATTCAGGGGCAAGGGTCACATTTTCGTTCCACGTTTGTACACTGCTTAATACTGGGGCATCTTGCCCCTTTGACCAGGGCTTTTAGAAGCCGATGACAATACACACCATTACTAAAGACGAGAAGTGTGGGATATATATAGAAAGGGAGGTTGCAACAGTGGCCTATTATTAGCAACCGAACACTACCTGGGAAGTGATGCACAGCACATTAACTCAATTGTGCAGTAAAGTCTGTCAAAATTGCTCACAGCTCATTAACTAAATAACAGTTAGACACTGAAGAATTTTACTTTTCCATTCTTTTACTTTCCCATTTACTTCTGAAGGAGCAAATGTAGGAGCGAGGTTGAGAGAAGGTGTCTAAGACAAAAGTGACACCTATCCATTCCTGGTCTGCGTGCATTTATTTCACGCTTAGCAGCACAAACACGACAGCTAAACGCCGGAACAATATTCTTCCGTTCTGCTAAGCCAAGGCAAAGTCTCTTTGCAATGGATGCTTTGGACTTCACTGGCAAACCTAGAGGAATGAAGAAGCAAATGCATGGCAACGTGACTGCCAGGTTGTTCAAGTGCATCAGGCTGAAGCAAGTTTCCTATAGCCACTTACTCTATGCTTGAAAACAAAGTCCCCTCTACTGGTCCCTAATGTTGTATTACCCCTTCCCCCACCCACCTTGAAAATAATAAAGGATTATCGGAAAGTAGGGCTGGAAGGGTCTTCCTGAGGTCATCTAGTCCAGACGCCAGGTCATGGCAGGAACACCCCAGACTAAAACATCCCAGCCAAGCATCTGCTCTTGAAAATGTCCTGGGATCGAGACTCCACGACGTCTCTAAGTAGCCTGTTCCAACATCCTCACAGTTAGAAAGCTCCTCCTAATCTCCAAATTTAAACTTCCTCTGCTGCAGTTTAAGGCCATTGTTTTTAGGCCACAGAGAAAAGTCAATCTCCCTTCATTTGAGCAGCAGGTTTACTTTCACTGACACCAATTTCACAAAAATGTAGCTCCATAGTAAGTAATAAAATTACTCCTCATTTACACTAATCTTACTTGTGGGGAAATAATTCTTTGAAGTCTGATCCTAGAAAAAAGTGATTAGGAGATAGGGAACAGAAGACATAAAAAGGTGGTGTGGTGATACCTCACCCCAGAGCTGTAATCAAGATAAACGGCATTGAGCTGGATTATCATCACGGCATTTTTCTCTCAAACAGAGCTGGCTGAATAACTTATTGTGAATGCTTTATAGATATTGCTGGTTTTTCAACACATATTTGAATATTTTCCCATCAGCCAATCAGTCCTGCCCTCCCTAGTCTGTGGCTTTTACAAGCATTTAAATTCCTCTATTCTAAGATTAAGTAATGAAAGAGCAACACTGAAAAGTGAGATTAATGCGGCTTCTTTTAAAGACAATTTAATATTTTTTATTTAATATTCCTTACAATAGTGCAAACTCTGTTCTTATGATATGCCCACAACCGGTCATTTAGTAGTACGGATTCAGGGAGAATATGACTTATAAACTAAACAAGCAACTCCCAGCCACCCAGTAAATCAGCACTCTCCAGGCCACAGAAAATCAAGACGGCAACATCTGGGAATAATTTCTGGGTGCTCCCAGAAAATGGATGTTTCAGACTCTCAATACAGAGCTGATCCCACCTTAAATGTCTTTACCTGGAGCTCCCTTTCTCCATCTTCAACTCCCTGCCCAAACATTCTTCAGCCCCTTCAGGGCACAATGACACACAGGAAAGGCAAGTTTGTAAAGGTGGTGTTTTAAGACTGCTCAAGGAATAGGGGTGTGAGGCTGGCATGTGCCTGAGGAAGTTATGGTGGATACCAAAGCACCATCTGTGACTAGCACCAATTGCCTACACCATTCTCCTTCTTCCAAAGGGACGCCAGCAATAGGAAGATGCACTGAGTGCTACTGACTGCAGCCTGTTGGCTCTGGACAACTTGATTTCCGAGTGGAAATAGAGATTAAGGGGCAGCATTTCAGGAGCAGAAGAAAACCTGACCATCCGCATGGGCAGTCTCTCACTTTGCAGACTTCAGGAGCAATGCCCCTGGAAAGGTTGCACTGAAAGGTTCAAACCTTTTGATCTACAATGAAGGCGAATGCATCCAGAAAAAGCATCCACAAGAACCATCTTTCCAAAACCCCGTGCACAGACCAGCCTGCAGGTACTGCAGCCGGCTAGCAACAGACTCAGACAGGCGAGGGACGGTGCAGGCCCCAGGCTGGCAGATTTCTCTTGCAAGGCACATACGCACAGATTTCCTGAATGTCAGAGCCAACTTTCTGCAGACATTTAATTTAAAACCCAAAGTAACTTAATACAAAAACCTCTTTGCAAAATAAAAGAAGAGGAGACACAAGATAGTCCTCTAGCTAAAAGGGGCTGTTAAGTTGCATTTTGTATCATGTGGGAACAATTAGCGAACACCAGCTCCTATTTTCTTTAGCTAAACACAAAGCTCTTCCATTTTAAAAGATCCCCGAGGCTTTCCCTGCCTTTGCTTTTGCTTACCAATCTGAGCAAAGTTACGCACATCCTTATAGCCCAGCCTGTACTCTGTAACACCTAGTATCTATTCCTGATTCTCAGAGAACTGTTTAAACATAGTCGCATCAGACCCTCCCCACAATGGTCACTATTAACACTTGGTTCAGAGTGTTAAATAGACAGCCAAGGTCAACTGCATTGCTGATTTACATTTATCCTTCTCATCCAGGACTGTGCCAGTGGGAGATCTGAATGCAGTCCCCAAGGCCACTGTTCCAAGACGGGAGTTATCCGGACTGCGGTTACAACCAGCAGCTGCCATGACACATGCATTGAAAAGTATGATCGTTGGGAAGTCGAGTATACTGATGGCTCTAGGATAAACTACACTGCAGCACTGCAAGGTACACCGGGACCGTTGGCAGTACACTGTGTACTCTGACAGCACAGCCAGTGCTCCTGCTTTACCACGCCGCCGATTCCCCCAAAGGAGCTGCCCGGAAAGGATACCAGCATCGGATGTCTGCAGCCCCTCTAACACTTTTAATGGAGAGAGGGGACCGGCTATTGGAAAATATCTCAATTTTATAATGTTCTGAAAGTGCCTAATTTCCACTTCACACATTTCACTGACATCAGGAAGCTTTCCACTAT